GGAGGAGGGGCTGGGTGGGGGGGGGGCGGGCACAGCCGGGAGCCTCCTGCCTTGGTTTAGGGCCCCAGCTTGTCTCATCTATCATCTGGCATCTACCTATCTATCCATCAATCTATTTTGCTTATCGATCATCTATCTATCACCTATGTGTCATCCATGATATCTACGTATCTCTCGCCTACCTATCGCGTTATGTCTATCCATCGCCTAAAACAAACTGATGGTGTCACAGCTTAGGACAGGCCTAACAGGCCTTTAACCGTCAGAGTGAGTCACTCAGAGAACCGCGGGAGGTCGGCGACAGCACAGGTGGGAGGGGACGTGCTTGCGGACCGGACTCTGACGCCGGCTGCCTGGGTCTGAGTCCCTCTCTGCTGCCCACGTGTGGCCTTGGGCAGGTCTGAGCTTCTGCGGACAGCTGGAGCACTCGGCTCACAGGGACTCGTCTGGCTCAAGGGAGTCGATTCGAGTGGAGCAGCAGAGTGGTGGCTGCCACTTGTCATGCCGTCACCTGCACATGGGTCTGGCTCAAATGTCTTGCTCTCTAAGGTTTTGCAGATGGGGAAACTGAGGCTGCGTGGGGGGCAGGGAGTCGGCAGCAGGGTGGGGCCCGGGGTGGGGAGGGCCCAGAGACCCCCAGTGTTCTGCAGAGCTGAAGAGCCATCTGGGCAGAACGGGGGGAGACAATGGCGCCCCCACCCCAGGGTGGACAATGGCGGCCACAGCCTCCAGCGGCGCAGCTTCCTTCCTGTCTCTGCTCACTTCCCCGCCTGTGTCCGCGGCTCTGCTGGCCCAGGAGCCCCCCGCCCGCCCCTCCCTCAGCAGGTCTGGCCCTTTGTGTCGAGGGGACCTCAGTCCAGCAGGCCTGGCCCCGGGCCCTGGGAAGCACTGGGGTGACAGAAAAGGGTTAACCTACACGGGATGCCCTGCCTGGCTCAGTGGTCAGGCCAGGCTGCCCACTGGTGGGGTTGGCCCTGCTCACGGTGCCAGACCCTGCTCTGTGAACTGAGCCGGCTGCCTGCTGTCTCTGGGCGTCTTCTGGGGGTCGAGAACCAGGTCCTCCCCCAGCCCCAGCTACTCCGCAGCACCTCGAACTCCGGAAATATCTGCTGTGTGAAGGCTGAGTAAACACACGAACCACTGGCTTAGGGAAAGGCACGAGAGCCTGAGCGAGCTAGAGCCACCCCTGCCCCCAAAACCGACCCCTGCACTGGGAGCTGAGGATGAATCCCACCCCTGCCCCCTGCGGGCAGCTTCGCAACTCCCCGCTCACCTCTCCCCTGCCCCCGCCCTGCACACCCCAGGGCTCAGCCTGGCCGGCTCACCGCCCAGGCCCCTCTCTTGGGTGCGGGCCCCTCAGAGACGCTTCCCGCACCCTGGCTGTTTATTCCTCGTCACTGCTGCATCTGTTCCCTTTGTCCCAAGTAGCCATCGTGGTTCATGAATTGACGCAGCTTTGCCAGCCAGCCCTCCCCCACTGGACGGTCAGCCCTGGGGCAGGAGCCAGAGTGTGTGCTCACCACTGCACCCCCCTGCCTGGAACAGGGCCTGGCACCTCTTAGGCCCCAAAGCATAGCTGTGAAATTAATGAATAAATGGAACCAGACCCCACTTGAATCCTGCTAGGGACAGGCAGCTCACTACCTACCACAGTAGCCCATTTCCCTGCCAACTGGGAGCAAATTCCAGAGTCGACTCAAATCTGCTCCTCTCCGCCCCCTCCGGCCCTGCCCCATGCCACGACAGTCTCCTTGGAAGGAGGCCAGATATTCCTTGACACCCTTCAGAGACCCAGAGGCATCGGCAGGGTGCCATGCTCCTGCTAAGGGGCTCAAGGTGACACGAGGTGGCCCTGCTCCTCTCGGAGCACAGAGCACTTGGGTCCCCTCAGTGCTCTGTCTGGTGTGGGGGTGGGGCAGGGGCACCGGGACACAGCTGCCTTGGCAAGGAGACCGCGGCCCTTGGACGGTTAGGTCTACAGGCTCCCGACAGCACCGGCTGGCCCAAGGCACCAGGCCCCAGGGAGGTCGGGGAGAGAGTGGCCAACGCCACAGGGCCACACGAGTACACGAGGCCAGTGGGTGCGAGCGATAGGGACGAGTGGGGTCTGCGGCTCGCGGGAAAGGACCCACCGCGTGTCAGCTCCGTCCGGTCCAGCGATGCACAGGGAAAAGTGGGTCCAGGCCAGGCAGATCTTCTGACTTTAAAAAACATGAAGTTAAATTGTCCAATATCTCTGTCTTTAAAGTCTGGCCACTACAGTGACACCTAAGCGAGGCATTACTCTCTAAGCCACCTCCCCAGTGACTAGTCAGAGACCCCTGCTCGAAAGTCGCCTTTTGCCCTGTTTTGTCCCACCAGGGCAGAGGGCACTAGTCACCCCAAAGTGAGGGGCGCCTTCCTGGTCCCCGTATTCCAGCCCCTTCCTAAAGCCCATCTGCCCTGCGGGGAACAGGCTGAGCAGCAGAGGGCGCTCCACACACCCGTTTTCTTTAACCTTCCCTGCGGGAAGCAGACCCACTTCAGCATAGGGACAGGGTGGGCTTTTCGTTCCCACAGGATGACAGCCGGGGCTGGGACAGTCAGGCATGGCCAGGCCCTACCTGCCTTATTTACTGCAGAACCCAGCGCCTGGCACCGGGCAGAAGGGCGGAATGATTAAACACCATGTGGACTTGAGCAAATTCCTTCTCTGAGCCTCAGTTTCCAGTTCTGTAAAATGGGGTGTCTGTGGGGCACGTACAGTGCCTGGAAAGTGTGGTAGGGTGCCATCCACGTGCGCCCCCCATCCCCTCCCTACCAAGGCAGCAGGGGGTCAGGCCAGAGCTGGTCCCTGCCAGGCCCCGTGGGTGGACGGCTCCAGCTTGGCCTGGCACAGCTGAGGGCTCCCCCCACAGCATGCCCAGGCCAAGACTCCGGTGCCTCGGGCTGAGTACGGGGACCACGGCCCCCTTCATGCCACCACGAGGGCGAGGCCAAGGGGGCTATGGCGACACCCCCAGTGCACGTCCTCCCTGCTCAGGGCACCACCTTGGACCCACAGGCAGCTCCCACAAGGAGGGAAGTGGCAGGTCCCAGTGGTGTGGGTGCACAGCCCCTGCCTGGGTCTGGTGGACACCCGCAGCCCCCGCCTGGTCCGGCAGGGGCCACTCAGCTCCCCTGCTTTAGTGCGCGGCATCATCCCGCCTCCGTGAAACTCACTGGACGCGCGGGCACCCAGCCTGGACGCCTCAGTCGCGCGTCGCTGACCTGAGCTCATTCCCTGTTCACGGTTCTTCTCAGAAGCCTCGGTTTCCTCCTCTGCAACGTGGGGTCCTGGCCGGTCCCCATAAGCCTGGGGGTTGGGGGGCGCCAGGGCTCCAGGGGGAGGACATTTGGCACGTGGAAGGGGTGCGACGGAGGGAGGTGGTGGCTGGACTGGACGCTTGTCCTGGCCGCCCCCTCCCACCGGCCCTGCGAGGGGGCGGGCCGTCTCCCTCCCGCCCCGCTCGCCGCCAGCTGGAGCTGTCTTTTCAGCACCACGTGGCCTCTGCTCCACCCCGGGGCCGGGCCACCGCCCCCGGTGCTGCATCCAGGAGACCCATCAGCGGTGGCCTCGAGGACCCCAGGGCAGCAGGAAATGAGCTGACCTGGCACGGGTGGGCGGACCCTGGGGGCCACAGGTGCCGGCGGGGCAGGGCTGGGGGAGGAACCCCGGGCGGGAGGAACCCCCGGAAGGGAGGGTTAGGTGGAGTGGCGGCCTCTGCCCAGCATCTGGAGCAGGGTGGGCCCAGAGAGGGGTCAGCATGAGACAAGCAGGGAGTGGGGGGGACACCTGCGAGGGTCCTCTTCATCTTGGGGCTACTTGCAGGAGGATCGTGTCCCCTCTGCAGGCTGGAAGTGGGGGTCCTCTTCCCTTAGGGGCACCCCTCTTGAATGGGACCTGAAGGTTTTCCCTCTGCCTACCCCACCCCAGTCCCAGGACAGCCAGACAGAAGTTGGAGGTCCAAATTGGGGGTGCAGTGCCCCATGCT